TGGTAGATAGCATAAGCACGTTGTTAGGACACGGAAGGAACCATAGTACCCCACCAGTTCGGGTGTAACAGTGAGGATATGGAAATCCACGGATTGGATTTCGGAATTACCCAGACGGATTAGATCTGGTTGAGCCAGTGATAAGACTGTAGGAACGCCACTACAGTTATGAGATCAAGGAAGCAAGAGATTGCTTAAGGTCGTTTGTGATATAAGTCTACCGTTGGTCATGTAGCAATCACTTTTAGCCTTGGATTTGGTGACGTCAGGATTTGACGCATGAACCCGATCAGTTAGATCAGAAGGTTATTAGAGCCTCAGTGGCATGATAATTAGTGGCAACTAGTTCCAGAGAAGGATTTCGTTCAGAAGTCGTGTGAGGCGACTAAGTGGGAGTCCTTTGGCTCCGCAGCCGGGCCGAAACCCGGTATTTTAGAAGACTGATAAACAAATTGTGACTAGGGAGGTCTCGGTAGATTTTGGAAAGCAGCCATGTGGCAGCATACTACTTCAAGCAGTTCAGTGTTCGGGCAGTTTCAGCGTTTATGGTCTTAATCATTAAGACACTTTACCCAACCTCAGATCCGACCCTAAAAGATATCCTAATCCGTAAAGTCTCTGAATTTATGCCTTTTCATGGCTAAAGAGAGCTTAATCCCAAAACCCTTACTTTTCACTTCACCAAAAACTTCATAACTCATGCATGGATGAAAGGAAAGGGCCAAGCTAGCATTTTTATGACCATATGTACCCTAAAATGTCTTAAATGACAACTCAAATGCTCTGGAGTATTCCATACTCACAAAGATCAAGGTTTTGGGACAAAATGAACATAAATCTAAGCTTAAACAAGATCTAACAAAACAAGCTCCAATGTATGAACTTTATATCTTCAGTAGATGAACAATGAGATGTAGATTCTGGATCCAAAAGCTTGAATGCAACACCACTTCTTGAATGATCTTTCTCTACTACCAAGAACGCTAAAAAATCACTCAAAAGCTTCAAATCTCACTCACAAGGTCTAGGGTTTCGATTTTGGGGTTTAGAGGAATGGAGGTTGTTCATAAAAAGGTCCAAGGGGGATTAAGATGTTTAAATAAGGGACACAACCTAAAAAATTTAGGGTTTAGGAACAGCTCGAGTACGCCCGCCGTACTCACATGTACGCCCAACATACACCACCTTCGCTACGACTCCTTTGTTGACTTACGCCCGACATACAAGCCTTGTACGCCCGATGTACAAGCCTTGCAATTTGAAATTAATTAATATGTTAAGGGTTGAAAATGAAAATACCTGACAACGGGTGTTACACAGATGCATGTCATGTCTTTACTTCCATGATTTAAATATCAAAGTTCTCTTATTTTTTATTCAAATAAGGGGTATTCTTGGAGTTTGAATAGAAAACATGGGATATTGTTGGAACTTTGTTCTACTAAAGACACATATGTGGGATTTATCCCACATAGGAAGAAGAGAAAATACTTTCCCAGCTTATAAGATTTGTCTCACTCATTTAATGAAATGTAGCAATTAATGGGTCAACCATCTTGGATTTGGGTTGTGGTGTTGGATTAGTCATATTGGGCTAGAAAAGACTTAGATTTATTATATATTAATGGTCAACGATAGGGTCTTGGGCCTTTGGGCTTTTGGATTCTTCTTGACTACATAATATATTTTTATTATTATAAATCTAAAACTAATTACTAATTAATTTTTATTTAGTAAAAATTTTGTTAATTAGAAATTAATTGCATGGCAGTTTATGACAGTTATTTTTGGTTGGTGGTTTACAACCACCATTGAAACCCTATAAATATTTGGAATCTGACATAATTTGGAGGCTAATGAACCATACACACATTCTCTCAAAATTATTGTTGATGTAACATGGAAACATGGTGATTTTCGACATATTCAAGATCTGTTTTTGAAATGATTGTTGTATCCTCAAAACAAACTCATACCAAATCAATTTCTGTTTTAGGACACTGCAATTTGCAGGCCACAATCTACATATTTTTATGGATATAATTTTGTTGTTAAACATCAACATTCAAATATGTATTTTGATTTGTGAATCCGATTTGTTAATATTTTTGATTGTTAAAGTTCGTGCTTGATTTTTTTTTGTTATAACATAACGTAGTTAAGTAAATGGACGTGTGAATTGTGAAAGAATTGCAAATATACGAAAAGAAATTGACACAAATAAGCTAGCTAAGGATATAGAGCTATAAACTGCTTTTTGGGGGTTAAATTTTTCATAGTCATGAACTCGTGTATAAATTCTATTACAGAGAAAATACGATACAACGAATATACGAATTAATTTGAGGATGAGAATTGAAAATTATGTATCATAAGTTTTGATTTATATGTAAAATGTATTATTAATATTTCACTCAAAGTTCTAGGCTCGGTGCTAAGTTGATGTGTTTTCTACAAATTTCATTAATTTAGTTAAATAAGAGACATCAAACATAATAAAACACATGTGAATTCCTACTTGATTTTTATTGCATAATAGTTTTTATATTTTAAAGTATCTGAAAATATTACAGTTTACAAAAGTAATTATTCAAACCATGAATAAAAGTGTCATCATCTCTTATATTTTATTTCATATAAACTAGAAAGTTGCTACATCTGTTTTATGGGGCACCAAACTTGCATAATTATGGAAATATAAAGAGCAAAACTGCAAATATACAAAAGTCATGTTGCAAAGTGTGATAAAGAGAAAACATGCAAATATATAAAATTCACGTGGTCAAAGTGTGACACCAAACAAGTATAGGGACTAATCATGGAAATATATTGTGGGGGCATAATCTGTAAATTTTCTATTATATGGACAATTTTGTAATTTATTTTCTACACAAGGGTCAAACTTGCCGACATACAAAAATTTTAAACATATGGACTATTTTTATGAAAAAAACTTTACAATGACGTTTTTCTGTAAATTACAAAGTTAAAAGAATTAAATTTGTCAACCCTACTAAATTCTTTTTTTTTCTTCATTGTGTCTAAAAACTTAAAACATTAAAAGTCGTGACCATTTAATCAACCCTGCTAAATTCTAAATGAAAACTAATAGAATAAAAGATAAAATAAAGAACATATCATAACTCAATCAAGCTTTTCACAAAATCATTGGATATAAATTTTCAATTGAAAGACAAAACGCTTGAGTTATATTCGTTAAAAAATATTGGTTTTTTATTTTCTCTATAAACTTCAATAATTATTTGCAATAAAAATATATATAATTGATCTTTTTCATTCCATAATTGAACTTAATTCAATGGTATTCTATTAAAACAAAACTAAGAGAAAATGAAATTGGATTTGTTTTGTTTAAAACTACGTCGTTTAAAAGGTTCTATACCTAAGCTTAGGTATATATATATATATATATATATATATATATATATATATATATATATAATTGGTGATTAAACTTGCAAAGCTATTACAAACGGTCAAAGCAGATCGAGACCGAAAGAAACAGTAACCAACTGAAGTGGAAATGAAATATTGTTGACTTAACTGAACCGGTTTTGGTTTCTGTGTCGTTTTTTTTTCTTTATGTTCCAAAACCGGTTTTTTGGCCATTAAGTTATATTTTAGCCCATTAAGTCGTTTTTCATCCAATTAAGTCATTTTCCAACACATTAATGCCCTTTCCATCCAATTAAGTCATTTTACAACCCTTTTCTAACGGACTAAGAAGAAGCCCAAAGAAAGAGTCTTCTTACAGGTTAGTTGATAGCTTTCCAGTGTGACCTCTGATCTTCCTTGCTCCTCAAGGAGGAAATCGATAGCCTTTAAGATAAGAGGCTAGCTCCTGAGTTCCAATTTACTTCTAACACATTTCATCAAAAGAAACAATTGCGATTTAAAAAACAATAATAAAATTAAATGAAGTCCAAAAAAACTATACTAAAAGTTCATATATCAAAACCAAAATACCAGTATATCAAAACAAATAATGTCACAATTTCATTTCAATTTTTTACCAACCACAATATGAAAAAGAAAAAAAAAATCCATCAAATTAAAAATTAAACTTTAATTGTCTTCTTTTCTTCTTTTTTTTATCATTTTGTTCTTCTATGCATCTTTTATTTTTATATGGGAGCTGATCCATACACAACAATTTTTCTTCATACACAACAATTTATGTTTTAAAATGTTGTACTATAGAATTATATAGAGTATAAATTGTTGTGTATAACACTACTAGAAAACAGCCATTTAATGACGCGCAGACAATGACACTCGCTGATAGAGGACGCGCATTTGTGCGCGCCCTAAAAAATAATGTCAGTTTTGCAAAATTTGAAGGATAGAGGACACGTATTTGTGCGTGCCCTAAAATTAGTGTTAGAAAAGAAAAAAAAAAGGAAATGCCGAGGGCGCCTTTCATAAAATGTGCGTTGTCTAAATGTGTCGCTTTATAACATTTTAATGAAACACGCGTTTTTAAGGGGGGATTTCACCCGCCTATTGAATCCCAAAAATTAAACCCCCTGCCTCTTCCAATTAGCAAGAAAAAGCCCTAGGCCTTCGTCTTCGTCTTCGTCTTCGTCGTCTTCTTCTTCTTCTTTATAGTTATCAGTCAAAAATTAAGCAACATTCTCTTCCATGCCTGGTAGATACGCAGAGCTGGATCAGTATTGGGGGGAGTCGCAAGTCATGGGGCCCCGTGCAGATGGCTGGGCTGATGAATTTTCCCAACAACACGATGGGGACCCGAATGCTTGGGCTTTATGCTTTGAACGACAAAATGGTGTTGGGGGTTGGGCTTCTGAATTCCAGCATGTCAGTGAGCTCTTTCACTCACATAAGAGATCATATTATTATAGTAATTTGATGAGAGGACTGTGTGGTTGGTAATGCCTTACTGGATGGATGAATTAGTTGCATCACATGTTCCCTGTTTATACCTGTAATAATATTTAGTAGATTAATGGATTTGGGTTTCAGTAACTAGAGATTTCTTTTCTGTTTGCAGTTGAAGAGTTGTTAATGAAATTTGAAGTTGAACCTAAAGAAAGGGCATATAAGAAGTAAATGGAATGGAAGCCCATTAAAATCAGAATATGAGAATAGTGTAAGTAATACATACCTGTACGTATTCTGATATCAATATTCCTTGGACGTAAAGCAGAACCAAAACTACTAGTGCCAGAGGCTGACCTTGTCACAACTACAGGTGGAGGTGGAGGTGGATGTGTGGTTGTTCCAAAACTCGTGCCAGGTTGAAAAGGTAGAGGCTGCCCCATGATTGGATTTGGTCTGGATGTTGATATGAAAACAGCAGGTCCAACATTCACCACTGCATCACTCTACAACAACAAGGTAATATTTTTTTTTATTTTTTGGTTTTTGTTTTTAATTAATTAATATAAGAAACTTGGAAACATAGTTAAAAGTTATGAAAACTCACGGGTGACTGTCCCAATCGCGGTGTCATGGTAGTTCGTCCCTGACCTCAAATCATTTGACTGCATCCTTAACCGTGTCACAGGATCACTTACATTGTTCTGATCCCCTAATTGTCTTCTCAATTGCCGCAACCACAAATCACTTACATTTCTATTTAGGTCTTGTTTCTGGTCCTACTGTTAGCAGCTTGCCGCGACATCACCACCACCACCACAACCACCCCCATGGCCGCCATCGTCATCCTCATGGGACAAGAACTCATGCAGTCTCCCCATCTCCATCCTCCGGACCGGGTATATAAGTATTTTTTATCTAGTTTCTAGACTCAATAACAATCTTATTATTAAAATTTAAAATAAAGATGATTATGCAGGTTGTGGCCTAACATGTTTGGAACCACTGACTTCGACTCCTATTGGTTCACCTTGTGGTTGTGTTTTACCAATGAAAGTGAGACTGCTTTTACAAGAGTCTGTGTACGCTGTTTTCCCTGTTGTGAACAAGCTAGAGATTGAGATTGCATCGGGCATGTACCTAACACAAAGCCAAGTGGTGATAACATGTGCCAGTGCAGATAGTGAAAACCAAGGACAAATAGTCATTGATGTAAACTTGGTGCCATTGGGACAGCGATTCGATAATGTCACTGCTGCTTTCACATACGAGAGATTTTGGAAGAAAAAACTCTCCTTGAATAAAACCCTTTTCGGAGATTATCAAGTGGTATATATTATTTATCCAGGTAAGGTATAATATATTATACTTCCATATCTTTTCCTGTTATCAATTACTATAACCAATTTGGGTTCTAAAATATGAGATGTCATGTCACAATCAGGGCTTCCTACTTCGTCATTACATATGGAACCAAGCGGAGGTCCCGGGATGCAAGATTTCCCAATAACCGCAAATTTTGTTCACAAAACTCAGACAATAAACCGGAAAACCATTTTTGTAATTGCTTTGTCTGCAGTAGTACTCTTGATTGTTTGTTGTGCTGCAATTTGTGTTATCATCAAGTACAGAAAGCTATGTAATTCATCCAGTGCTTTTACATCCTCAAATAACAAGAGATGTGGTAAGCTTCAACCTTGGGATGGCCTTCCATTCAATTTAAAAAACTATTGAATTGTGTGTTTTGGTGCTAGTTTAGTGTTTCAAGTTACATAGAAAAGCACCCAAATTCTGCAACAGAGCACCTGACCTCAAAGCATTTGACTGCATCCTTAACCGTGTCACAGGATCACTTACATTGTTCTGATCCCCTAATTGTATGTCAATTGCCGCAACCACAAATCATCAACATAACCTAGATAGTTAAATTTAGGAAGTTTAGTTTAGTAGATAAGAATAAGATACCATCAAGCATTCTCCAGCTTCTTCAATCAGCAACTGTCTTGCAGACTGTGTCACTTCTTCCAGGGCTGCTGGTGTTGGTAACCCTCCCTGACCAACACCTGCACCTAAATGTGGTGGTGTCCTTGTACCATTTGACTCTCCTCTATTATTGTTCCCCTGGATTCTAACTGCCAACACCAAATTCAGAATCAAATCAATTGCCTCTTACAGATTCACTTCATCACAAAATACACCCACCATTATTATCCTTTTTGCTTCTCTTTTTATGTATAATCTTAGTATGTTTTGTTCTCATATTGTTGCTATTTCACAGATGATGAAGATAATCGTACAACTGTAGATTTAGCTGCCCCTTATTGGGTTAAGCCAAAAAACATGGGTTAATGTAATCAATACATTGATATATGAAGAAGCGTTGTAGTGTCATTCTTTCTTGAACTCGAATCTGCTGCAAGAGCTTATATGTAATTTGACTAATTTCTCCTTTCTGCTTAGGTTAAGTGCATGAAATAGCAACATATTTTCATGGATTTTTTGTTTACATTGGTATCCCTCTTCAGTTTTTTCTTATTATGGGGGTTTGAGTTGGAAGCTGAGCTTGTCAATGCCACAGGGTGTTGGTGATTTGTTATCATTAATATTATTTAAGTGTAATGAGATTACTTTGTTGACCAAAGGTGATCTTGATAAATATTAAACAAGTAAGGAAGGTGTGGAGTACACACTTGTTTAAGTTTGATCAAGTTTTCAAAGTACACTATCATTTAGGGGCGAAGCCCCTAAACGAACGGGAGTCCGGGGGCAGCGCCCCTGGGAGCGGGGTCCAAGGGGCAGAGCCCCTGGCTGGGGTCGAGCTGTTGCTATATAAAAAATGCATCAGAAAAACGTATTTTCAGAGAATTGACCATTGTTTGACCCTTATCCAAACTTCCGTTTTATGTCAGTTTTTATAGTTTTATGACAGTTTGAAACTGTCATATGACAGTTTTCAGACAAAGATCATAAATTCGGTTTTGGTCTCATTTTCTGGTACAGACGAAACCATCATCAAAGCATTCTAAATTCTTGTCTCTCTAAGTCTTATCCGATTAAAGAATATTGGGAGTACCACCCAAATGCTTTAATCTGAAAGTTTTTTACACAATTCTCAGAATTCCAAGCCTTACTATACCCCAAATTTCTAACACAGGGGCTGCAAAGCCTACTCGGAAAATAAGGTTTGTGACTTGTTTCTTAAGTTGCCTACACAAATTTGTTGTGTTATGTAGTAATAAATATATTTTTTTTATAATGATAATAATAACTATGAATATATTTTCTACTTGTTGCCAGATCTGAGCAAAACAAGGAATTAGAATAGGAAGTTATGGGCTCTGCCCCAGCCGGTGAAGAATCTGCTGCCGAGAGTATCCAAGTCTAGGTAATTAGCAGATTGGACATTTATGCTGCTATGTTTTCCTTATAAGTTGGTGGCATCGTGGTAAATATACTACTGAAAATGATTATTATACTAGCAAGTAAGGTGAACGAGCATGATTTATGTCTTCAAAGGATGAAGCTTTTTGCAATTTCTCATAAAGGGAGATATTAGTTGTGATCTTTTCATTCAGAGACATTAACATTAAGTACAACCATAGTGGTCCATGATGTATGCTAATAGATTGGTTTTAATGTAGCAATGTGAGATTTAATAGATATATAGTATGATGGTGTTATATAGTAGTTGGAGTCTTGATGCATACATAGAATTAGACAAGAGAAGAGTGGGTCTTTTAATCTTATTTATAGTATATATATATATATATATATATATATATATATATATATATATAGTGTGATGTTTTTTTGTTCTGCCTTTGACAAGAGAAAAGTGGGGTTGTTAGCACTTGAATGTTTTATTGGGTCTTTGCTTTGAAAGAAATCTTGAAAGGTAGTGTGACCTTTTTGTTATCTTGTTTTCTTTTTTCATGATATATCTCTTTTTTTTGTTTAAACAAGAGAAAATTGATCGAGTAAACCCAACATTACTTTCATAGAACGTGATATATTTTTTATGCAATGAGTTACGTGGCATGGCATTTTAATCTGTTTTACTACTCATGTTATATTTTTTTGACATTCAGATTTCATGTTCATGTAGCAGGTGTTTGATTTCGGTGCATCACTCTCTTGGCCTGGACAAAAGAAATCTTGACAGGTGATTATTTTTTAACTTTTCCTGATATATTATATCTCTTTCTGTTGAAATGATCAAGTAAACCTATCACCTACTTTTAATCTATATTAAACATGATTTTTATCAGGAGAGATGACAGGTAGTTTTTCAGTTAAGATAACCTTAATCCCTCTTGTGCTTGGGTCACGTGTTTGACATTCGGATTTTAATTAGGTCGCAGTTTTTTTTGTTATTTCACCACATTACATGACATGACAACACCCTCCTTCCTTCCTGGATTTGGCCTACACAAAGCAAAACAAATATTGAAATGTGGGATGCTATTGATGACTTCTAGTTCTGTTATCTTAACTGATCTACTTACATATAACTGCAAACTATACCCATAATTCTTAAATCTCTTCACAAATTACAATTATTTTTCTATTTTTTTTATATAACAGACATGCATCCGTTTTGGAGGATACTTGCAGAAAAAACATGTCATTTCATTTCAACACATAACCAACCAAATAAACCATTTAAACCTTGTTTCCTTGTTTATTTCCAAATATCCAATTAAAGATGTCACTTATGACTTATCCCAACAATACTTCATCCAAACCACCATCTCATCATTTACTTTTTATTTCATCATTACTACAAAAAATAAAAATATCAGTTTGAGCATAGAAAACAAATTCAATCTTAGATAATCAACAAGCCAACAATCATCGCTAATTTTGCTAAGATTGTTTAATAAAAAAAGGCGTTAAGAATTTCATTGTTTACTTTACACTCTAAAGTAAAAGTAGCTCATGCCTTATCCCTTATCTAGGAGTTATGGATTTTTTATATTTGTATTTTATAACAAACACTCTTTTTCTCCAGGAATACAGAATTTTCAGATTTTTGGCAACATTGTTGATCCTAGACGACAGTCAGTTTACTTTTGGTAAGTCCAATATATGTTTTATTTCTTTAATATTTATTAATTTAACTGATTTGATTGTGAGCATGGACAACCATAAGCCAATGAGACGCAAGAAAGGAGAGAAGTCAACTGAAAAAGCAAATGACGTACATCCATCTGAAGTTATGCCTGCAACTCTTAGTAACCACCTCAAAGGCAAGACATGAATATTTTTTTATCACAACTGTTATTTCGCTATTTGTTTATGATACTTCTCAGTGTGGGACATGGTCGTAATTTAGAAACTCTTGAAAGGATCATTGATTCATGCACACCCAAAAGTGCGGATATTGTTGTTGGATGTCGAATGTTGGGAGAGTATCTTTATCCAGTACACTAGAAAATTCTGATGAATCATCACCCAAAACTCACAGTTTTTCTTGTCGATGCTCTGAAGAGATACATGTATGTGTCCATGGAGTTGATGTTCCTTATGTGATGGGTGAAGTTGCAAGGCATAACACTTCCATGGAGACTATCAAAAGAGAACTTACTCACGAGTTCTTTTAATGTTGTGTTTTGTTTTTTATAATACATAGTATTTGAATGATTATTTGTATTTGACATATGCTATTTTTTTGAAATGAATTATCGTTCTTATGCATGGTATTTTATTTTGTATTATGATAATTTCAATCTGTTGTTTAATTTGAAAATTAGTAATTCTATCAAAATATATATATATATATATATATATATATATATATATATATATATATATATATATATATTTAGAACATTTAAAATTATGACACGCAAATGCATGTCATCTTCATTTATGACAGGGGATTTAATAATACGCAATGTGTGTCCTAAACGCGCGTCGTAAGTTTACGACACGCAAATGCGTGTCATCTTCCTTTATGACAGGGCATTCCTTGACACGCAATGCGTGTCGTAAACGCGCGTCGTAAATGCGTGTCGTAATTGCGCGTCGTAAATAGACGACGCGCAAAAGCGTGTCGTCTCTCGTTATGACAGGGCCTTCCTTGACACGTATTTGCACGTCGTCTGAGCGTTTTACGACACGCATTGTACATCGTAAAAGGCTGTTTTTCTAGTAGTGTAGAAAAAAATTATTATGTACGAATCACTTCATTTTCTATATAATTATCAAAAAATTACAAAGATTTGAAATCAATATCAACCCTATCTCATCATCCTTTAATATATTCTGTGGTTTTTTAACCAAATCTTATGTATACATCAAAGCCTCATAATCAATATTGTCAAACATGTTTGATATGGATCTAAAACTCGACCACAAGTTCTAAATGTGGATTCCAATGTGACAAATACTTACACCCCGTTTCGAAGTGCAACTTAAACAGAGAAAAGAAAGGAAATAAGTGGAAATGAGAAGAAATAAAAGAAATTGGTGTTCCCGAGTTTTATTAAAGGAAAGAAGTTGGGGGAAATGAAATAATGACTTTCCCTCCTAAGAGCATCTCCAACCCACTCCCATTCTCCATTTTTCCCCCCATTTTTTCCTCATTCTTCTCCAACCCTCTCCCATTTATTCCCCCATTTTGGGGGATATGAATAGTATTACACCAAATATGTGTTATACTATTCATTTCTTCCAAAATGGGGGTGAACTTTGTGTTGTCGGTTTTAGTCTCTCTGTTATATATTTTTACATTTCTAGTTCATATTTACCTACTAATTATAATTTAAATATAATATTTAATACTTATAATATTTTGTTATATATTAAATTATATTAATTAATTATAAATATAAAGTTTGTTTTCCGTTCATCAAATTCATATAAAAATTTAAATACATATCGAAATTTTAAAAAACGATAACGTATTTTACAAAAACTTATAATTAAAATATATATTACAAACACGATAACATATGCTATTAAACTTGTAGTTAACATATATATTACAATAATAATCTAATAAAAACCAACAAGTGAAAAAACTATTATTTATTTATTTAATGTTTATTTAAAAGTGTGTATGTGTAATATTTTTATAAAGGGTTATCTACAGAAAAGTCCCAAACTTTTTTCAAAAGTTTCAATAAAGTCCTAAAAGTTTTTTTTAACAGAAAAGTCTCAATATTTTGATGTTTTGTCTAAATTAATGAAAAAGTCTTTTTTTATATTTGAACAGCAAATGATAGATTATATGATTTTTTTTAAAATATTGGGACTTTTTTCTGTTCAAAAAAAAAATTTAGGACTTTATTGAAACTTTTGAAAAAAGTTTGAGACTTTTCTGTAGATATCCCTTTTATAAATGCATGTATAATATTTATTTATAAGTTTATTATAAATATAATCGTTTGTATTTAATATTAATGTAATGAAAAAATTATAGATTATATATTTGTTAAAATTAAATTAGTAGAGGGGTGTGTTTGACAATCTATATAAGTTAGAATAATGGAATATACTAGGAATATACTTTTTGGAGGTAAAAAATGGAGTAAAAATGGAGTAAATAATGTTTCATCTCCAACCATACTCCATTTTCTATCCCATTTTTTACCCCAAAAAATATATTCCTAGAATATTCCATTTTTATAACTTATATATATTGTCAAATACACCCCTCTACTAATTAAACTCTATATTTATGATTAATTAATATAAATTAGTATATAACATGATATTATAAATATTAAATATTGCATTTAAATTATAATTAGTAGATAAAATAAACTATAAATGTATAAAATAAAAATGAGAGGGACTAAAATTGGCAACAAAAAATGGAGGTGAAAATGGGATAGGGTTGGAGAAGAATGTGGGAAGAAATGGTAGAAGAAATGGAGTTTGGGGTGGGTTGGAGATGCCCTAACTTTCCTTCCGATTTAGTAGGATTTGGAAAGAAAAAACAAAATGATTAATTTTCTTTCTACTTCTCTTTCAACCGGAACACAAAAGAAAATTTTGTTTTTTTACTTCTCTTCTTCTCTTTTTTTTTGTTAAACTCCTAAACTAGGTCCGTAAGTATTAAAAAGTAATTTATAAAATATAACTTAAATTAAGTGTGGACCGGCGTTGCCTTGCATGTATTTTATATTGGTCAATGCCGTAGCCGCCGAATCGGGCTCGTGGTTTGGCAACCGCAACGCAGGTAGATCTGCCAAATACCAACCAAAATACCCTCAGTCTTGTATTTAATAACAAACATTGGGTCAACGAAATTCTGCTCCGATGTCTGGATAAATATAAATACCAAACCTCCATAATTTCTCACCTTCTCAGTTCTCACTACCTACCTGCTTACGGTTCACACAGATACAGTGTGTGTCTGTAAAATAGTCCTTAAAAGCTCCGCCTCGTAAGTATTAATTATTATTAATGATTCCTCCTGAATATAGGATTTTTTTTTTTTTTCATTCGAGTAAAGATGAAATCCGGTTTTTGTTTTTACTAGTTTGATTTGTTTCATAAGCAGCACAGCAGATACATACATCAATGGCTTCCAGTAAGAAAACTTTCGTTTTCAATGAAGTTTCCACGCACAACAAAACCAAAGACTGCTGGCTTATTATCGAGGGAAAGGTCGAATCTCTATGACATGAACTTATTAAGTTTGACTTTTTTTTTACCTAAAGTTGGTAATTGTAATCGATTTCCGTCTGGAGTTTCTGTGGGTGAATTAGATTCGGTCCAATCCTGTATTTCTTCAGGGTTTTGTGGTTAATTGGTGCGATTAGTTTGGGGTTAGTTGAATTTTGGCTGAGATAAATTTCTCTTCAATCGTCAAGTTTATTTTAATGAACTATTGATGTTTTTTTTTCAGTTACGATCAATTAAGAAATGGGATTTGGCATTGCATACGATGAATTGATATTTGATTGCCATTGCCATTGCCCATTGGATTGATGCATGGTTAAATATTTTAAAATTTAATCATGGATTGGAATATCCGTAGTACTTTATATCGATTAATTTATCATCGTGCATGTCAAATGAGTGTCTCTTATCATGTCTGTCTGGACCCTCTGGCTCTGAAAAGAAGTGTCCAGTTCCCAAATGTCCAACCTTTACCAATAATAGCCTCGCCTGCTTTAACAAAGACCAGACCAGAGTCTATGTGGCTTTCATTATGCGGCACGCCAGTATTATCATTTATTAATGTTGTAAATCTAAAAAATGGTTTTATAGTGTTTTTTGTAAGTTTGTGAATTCACTTGTTTATGTTATGTGACGGTGAGCCTAGGTTTATGATGTAACACCATTTATGGAAGACCACCCTGGAGGTGATGAAGTTCTCTTAGCAGCAACTGGTATGTAATGTTTCAATTCAAGTGTAAATATATATATATATATATATATATATATATATATATATATTATATATATATATATATATATATATATATATATATATAAGGAATAAGGATGATGATGATGATTGACAGCGGTGGAGCTACATGGGGCGTTGGGGGTACTATAGCATCCCCAAAAAATTGTTTTATATATATAAAAAAAATTATTTGTAAACATGTTCTATGTTATTGTACCCCCAACTAAAGAGAAAATACCATGTTTTTTAATACCCCCGGATATGATAAATACATAGAATATTTCTTGCTAATGTTTGTACCCCATATAAATTTTTTTGGCACCGCCACTGATGATTGGAATTTGCAGGGAAGGATGCAACAAGTGATTTTGAGGATGTTGGGCACAGTGATGATGCACGAGGGATGATGGACAAATATTACATTGGTGAGATAGACAGGTCAACTGTTCCTCTGAAACGTGTTTTTGTTGGCAAGGAAAGGAACTACAATCCTGACGACACTTCCGCAGTCATCATCAAGATATTACAGTTTCTGGTGCCTCTCCTCATCTTGGCCTTGGCTTTTGCTGTCAGATCCTACACCAAAGACAACTCCTCCTCATCCGCTTGAACCACACCACAGAAATAATTACATTACATTTTTCTTCTTTTTAACATATACTATATGTTTAGATGCTTTCTTTCTTGTCTAACATTATTATCATTATGTCATCAACAAGTTGAATAAGGACGGACCCTCACCCATGTTTATGTGTGTCATAAAATATAATAGATTTTATTAGAGGATTTCATTTCATGGTATACTCCACTCAAGACATGAAGGTGTCTGTCATAAAAGATGAAGAAAATCAAGCAATATATATATATATATATATATATATATATATATATATATATATATATATATATATATATATAAAACTTGTTTCCATGTCAATATAATATCAAAGGAAATGATACTAAACAGGGCAGGGTAATTGAGAATCAACAATGATGATATTGAAATCGAACATGTAACACATTTTCCTTATGTTCCAATGTTTGTTGTTTGAGAGATAAGACTTGAGAGTTGAGAGTAGGAAACATAGGTAAATATTTGTATATTTAGTAGCAGTTTTATCCTATGGAGTTACATCACAAATAAGTGAATAACAGTGATAAGGCGATTGTTGGTAGTTTCTTTAATGTTTTGGCCTGATAAATGGCGTTTTAGCAGTTACCAGTTAGTTAGCACCACCTGTTGTGTAGAGCAGGTTTTAGCACCTCAAACCATTTAGGATTTCAGTTGGTACTTTTAGTGTCCCCAGACCATACCCAACTAGACAGTAGGACTAGGTATACAAATATATCCAGACTCATATTTCAGCATAGCTTAACCATCTCATTTCATAATATCATGTAAATCCCAACTACCTAAGAGTTTCTAATAACATAATTTCTTGGTGAATCAAATTTGAATTTGAACTTTCCTTTAGTGTTGTGGTCCGAATCCACACTACACATTAACAAAAAGCAACACAAGGGAAAACCTAAGACAAGGATGTTATAAAGTTCCAATTCATGCTTGCACAGTTTAGGGTTATCATTCAAGAAACAAACAGACGAATGAAAATAAGAGAAACATGCTACATTGACATCTTGTCTTTGCATTCTCTCCTCTGAACTCAAAAGCCAGTGTCACATGAGATGAGAGGCAAAGAGACAAACCAACCAACTGCTAAAATAAATGCAGGAGTAGAAATATTGATTCATTCTCAAATCTTGTTATGGTAAGTAGCTACTTGGATGATATATATAATTGTGTTTGTAAGAAACTACAATAATTTCCCCCCTTCCCCCCAGTAAAGAACTGGTAATAGAGTATTAGTAGTAGTAGTAAATAAAGGTTTCTGATGAGAGGGTGAAAGAAAAAGAAAACCAAAAGAAATGATGTTATGATGAGGAATATCGGGCGGCACACGAGAGGATTATTTATGATGGAGCGAGGAAGAAGAAGAAGAAGACATGGTGGTGGGGGTTTCGATCTTGTCATGAACAGAAACCACCAAGTCATGGGCATCATCCAAAAGCTTCCAAACATCGAGTTGACCGGCCATGTTATTACATTCCCTTATTATCTCATCCATGCTGCTGTACTTCTCTATTATCTGTTTCCTCCTCTGCAGCACGGAAGCAGCAATGGCATACAGCAACAGATCCTCGGTAGGAGGGGGTGCCCGCTGTCTTATCCTGTTCCACGCGGAGGACTTCCCAATCCCAGCTCTGATGGCGGCCTGATCCGCCCACATCACCTCCCACAAACATATGGTCTGTTGAAAAGTCAACTCCCTCCTAAACAGCACCACCACCATCCTATACACAAAGAAACAGTCCTCCGCCTGAAGCTTCTCCAAGTGCTTGTAGAGATGCGAGTCTTTGGATTTTATAATCTTGGAGACACGGTTCAACTGCCGTCTGATCCCCGTCTCATCAAGCCTGAAATTATGGCGCGCCTTTCTCATGAACCCAACGAAACACCAGAACGCTTCGTGGTCTTCATTCATGACTGCGATTATTGGAGACAGCAGATCGCTCATCCCCTGGCAGTATCCGATTTCCGGATCGTACAGCGCGTACGCTTCTAAAACCGCCACCAGCCGGGACGCGTGGAAGATTCTACACGCTTCTAGATGCTCGTAGTCTTTTAATCCCACTGCTTCTGCTGACCGCACAGCTCGTTCCTCCGAAACCTCCGCTTGAGGTTGCGAGTATGGGATCCAGTCTCCGTTGGCGCGGATCGCGTCCAGGCGAATGATACGCTGCCAGGTGGAGAAATCCTCGCTCGACTGGACTGCTGATGACTCTTCGTTTTCTGAAGATGGGAAGGGGAAGGTTTGACTTTGACTGAGTTCAGGGGGATCTTGAGATTGAGAAGAATCTGAGTCGGAAGATTCCGAGTCGGATATGTTTGGATCTATGAATCTTGTTGAGCCTGATCCAGGAGTGGCTTCTTCTTCCTCCAATAATACTCCTGAATTCATGGGAGATGGGGAAGAATTTATTTCTTCACTAGAAAGCGACTCCCTGGCACTCACAACTTCTTCTGATTCTGCAGACTCCATGCCTTGACTGTGACTGTCCCCATTGCTGCTGCCTTCACCTACAAGCTTCCTGCATTGCCTTCGTAATTTCTCGTACTTCTTTCTGTAACATATAAAAACCTTGCTCTGCTTTAGATTGTTTTATGAAAATAAAAATATATATATTATACTCAAAATGACAGGGCGTACCTCCCCTGAGTTCTTAGTTTATCTCTTTCTTCTTTGCAAGTGTTGAGCTCATAACTATTAAAAACAACAAAACAGAAATTTTGAAATGAAAGGAGAAATAAAATTTGGAAAGGAGATATTATTAATTTATTATACTTACACTCCAAGTAGGAAAGGCCAAACTTCTGACCTGATACTTGCATCCACTCCCTACAAATCAATTATATATGAGAAACTAAGTAGTGAATTGAAATGAAATGCTGTGACTGTGAGTAAGGAATAGGAACATGCATACCCCACTGCGAACTTTTTTAAGAAATTTAACACCATCTCGAAGTTTTCCATCTGGTGTAAACAAATTTCTCCACTGTTGAGGAGTGAGTGCGTGTTTTCTTTTCCTACGTGACCATGGTGATTTCAGACGCCCCCTGTCATCAATAATATCAATATGTCAGCTCAGCTCAGTGATGCAGTTTCATCTAACTTTTGTAGAGTCTGTTCTACTTCTCATAAAGTAATTTCTATTGCAGATGATCACATTCACATGATAGAAAACATCAAGTATAAGATGACAACAAATGGTTTGCTGGTTCAGCATTCTGAAACACAAAAACCAAAAAACAAAAACTAGGTTCCAATCATCAACTCATAATTAAGGCTTTCATTCCAAAATAAGTATCATGCTCCAAAACATAAAAGTCAAATTAGGTGAAAACTTTTATGCATACCAAGGGATTTCTAAAATCCAAATAACAATTTTGAAAATGTAATGGAAAAACGATGCATGCCAAGTATACGAAAGCACTAAGGACATATATATATATATATATATATATATATATATATATATATATATATATTCAATTAACTACTTCAGTTACAGTGGAGAGTGGTAACCATAAAACTTAAGGAAACTGACTGATTCTATTAACCATGACCAGAACCAGATTATGATTATGATTTCGGCCAACTGAATTTACCTTTTTGTCCTTGCCTTCTATTGGCTCATCCTTTTAATATTATCCTTAGTTCTACTAACCTTCTTATCATTTTTCCAACATGAGCTTTTGAATCTTTATCATTAAAACAAGTAAAATTAAGGACAACACTAGGTTTATTGTGGAAAAATATACAATTTTACTAGAATCTTTAATCGCTCTTTTAACTAGTGTCCAAAAATGCCATCCATTTTCACTACATAAAAGGAAGTTAATGTTAATGTCTCAAAGGATAACAAAGTGTGATTCGTTCAGTTTTGGGCAATGGAGATTCATATTCAGATGGCAAAAGAACTCCATGTTTGGCATTATGTTCAACCATCTTCCACGACTTTACTGATTTTTAAAATAAAATAAAAAGAAGAGGAAGAAAAAGGTTGAAACAGAAAAAGACCAACAAAATTTGTATATAATCAATGCACGATCCAAATGCCAAATCCTTATCCTTGTCAAGTAGAAAGTAGAAAAACGAATAACTAAATACCATAAAAATTAACGTCCATACACCTAATGATATTTAAAACAAAAAAGCAGGGGCCTGAACTCGTCAAACACCTTCTAAAGCTGCGAATTTATTACATAAACAACCAGCAGAATCAGAATCATATAGTTCATTAAAGTTGGACAAGACCTAAGAAAAGGAGGAAAAGGTACTGCTACAATCAAGGATTTGAGAAAAGCTTGAGATCAAGATTTAAAATGAACATAGCGACGGATACCGGAAAAACATGATTTGGATCAAAGAAGAATATACTCACCGATCGGAAGTGGAACACGAAGCTGGTGAGGAAGAAGCAACAACGAATAAAACAGATCTCAAATGAATCCACGAAGACGACGAATTTGATGAATTTGAAGACGACGACGAGGAAGACGAAGTTTGACTACGTCTTAGGGCTTTCATCAATCTACTAGAGAAACTTGTCGTGGAAACCAACAAAAGAAAAGAGGAACAAAGGGGAAAATAGTCCTAGGGGACCAATACTTCTAGGGTTTGAAGTTGAGTTGAACAAGTGGTGTGGTTATTACCAATTAATTGTGGTCATTTTTGTTACCTAGTGGTGGAGTACATAGCAGCAGCGATTACAAGGGCGGCGAAGACGGTGATGGCGAGATTTACTCCGGCATTTAAAGGTTGGCAGCCACCGCCGCCGCCGCTGCTGCTGCTGCTGCAGATGAAGAAGTCACCTAGCTTATACAGCATTAGCGGCGGAGGAATAGAATAAGAAGATGAAGAGCATGGAGAGAGAAAAGAGTATCCACCATGAAATCAACTGCTATCAAAAACCTTTAACTTTGGGCTCTTGAGTCTGGTTTTTTCTTTGTCTCATCTCCTGCTTTTCTCTCTCTCTCTCTCTCTCTCTCGACTCTGGGAGGGTGGGTGGGTGGGTACTGGCACTGGGGCATGTGAGCGTAGTAGTATCAAGTATTAAAGCATTAGAATATTAATGCAACTGATCCATCATTAATTAAAGAGTAAATTACAAGAATACCCTC